ACTGGTGAGGGGAGGGAGCTGTGTGGAAACAGGCCAGAAGGACGCTGGGGCAGGTTTTGGAGGGCCAAGGTGTCTCGAGATTGTCACTGTGCTGTCAATGGGGGATCACCAAGTCTTTTTTTTTTTTTCTCTTGAAAGTATAGCAATGGGGGTTGAGACTAGAACAATGACTTCAAACTATTTTAGCAACAGGATTGTATTATTTACTTAAATATTTAGTAGGAATAAAGTATATAACATGACAACAAGATCTAAGGAAGATGTTAAGCCCCATCTTCCTGCGAGGCACCTCTCAGGAGCTCAGTGCTGCAGGGAAAATGATTCAAAGTGGGGACACCTGTCAGGAGGCTGCTGCACTGCTGAAGGACCCGGGGTGGAGCACCTGGGCCAGGGCAGCGGGAGGGAGAAGGCAGCGGTGGCTCAGAGGGACGTTTCCGAGCTGGCATTGACAAGAGTCCGGACTGACTGAGCAGGCGGGGACAGAAGTGATACATGAGATGGAGCACACAGCTGGTAACACCAAGAACCAAGAACACTGGAAGAGAAGTTGCTAGAAGAGGGGGAAGTGACACCAGATGGGGTGACCTGGCTCTTGCTGAGTTTCACTGAGGACCACCTAAGTAGAGATGCCTGGCACACAGGTGAGCGTGAAGGGCTGTGACTCGGGGGGACAAATCAAGCAGGCACCCGATTTGGGAGGCTGTCACTTGGGAGAGGGTTTTGGAATCTGGGCTGGGGTCAGCAAGGTGGAAAGTACAGTGGAAAGAAGACTAAGACTCAGCTCGCGAGAAGTAACCACCAAGTCTGAAAGAGGGAGAAGGAGGTGTGATGGTGGAGAAGGAAGGAAACCCAGGCAGAGAAGGAGGCTGCAGCTGCCTTTCCCCGTGGGGTCTGGGAAAGTCCTGGCTCCAGCAGAAACACTGGCTTCATGAACTGGACGGGTCACTCTACCCCTGGAGTCTGAACCTCCTCACATCAAATTGGGGTCATCTGCCCTGCCAGCTCCACCTGCCCTTCTGTGCTGGCCCCAAATTAAATGAAGTGTGAAAGCGCCAGACAGGCGGCTCTCCTGCAACTGTCATTTGAGGCCTGGGTTTCTAGAAGGTGGTGATGGGAGGCAGGCAGAGCAGACAGTCACAGTAGACCCAAACTCTTGTGTCTTCGCTCGACATGAGGCTGGCTCCTTTGTAAAAAGGCCTTTCTGCAGGAGCCAGAGGCGGTTAGCTTCCGGCCCCAGGTTCTTGACCTTCTCAGTTACCTTAGTGGGAAATACATACTGGGAAGTATGTATTTCCAAATCCCTGCTGCGCACATAGCACGGGGAAGGGCTTATAGGGGCTGTTTTTTTAAAATGGGCATTTGACAAAATTATTACTTTGAGGTAACAGAGCCAAGGCTTCTATATCTTCTACTCTGCCAAATACCTAAACACTTTACGAATGAGAACTCATTTAATCTTCACAGCAACCTTATGAGGTAGAGATTGAGAAAAATCAGTGCCCAGGGAGGTTGAGTAACTTGCCCAAAGTCACGCAACTGGTGAGTGGCCAAGCCAGGCTGAAATCTGGAAAACTGGCTCAGAGTGTGCTCTGGAACACCAGGCAGGATAGGACGCGGTCTGTGAGCCGCTCAGGCGGCCTGTGCTGGATGGTCTGCGTAGGGAGAACACTGACAAGTCAGAAGACTTGATGGCAGACATGGAATTTCAGACAACTCCTGAATGGGTAAATATGGCTTAGCATTGATACTAAGCTAGAGACGTCACATTCAGGGTGGGGTGTCATAGCCAACGCCATTGAGGTGGGATCATTATGAGGACAACGAATGGGCCATCTGACTGGAGGAGAAGGTTCTGGGTGAGATAGGATCCACTGTGAGAGTCTAGTGAAATCACAGTGATGTGATTACACCAGCAGTTTGCCCGGATGGCCACAGCTTAACGCCTGTTGTCTCTTTGTAGCGGGTAAAGATTTCCTTTACTCTCCAAGGTGTCCTGCTTTGGGTAATAAGTTATATGGTCACTCTAGCTTTCGGAGACTGTGAAAACGTTGAAATACTTATTATGTATCATTTTTTTTCTAGGCTGTATATTTTCATCACTTCCACGAGAGGCCTACAAGGGTCCATTCCTATGATTTAAGAACCACTAGCATAAGGAGGGGTTTCCTGTTTTTTTGTTTTTTTTTTTTAAGAAAAATAAGTCTGGCCTTTGTGTGCGGCCCTGAATGGGTGTTGGTAGGACACCACAGTGAGAGGCCTGCACCAGGTGGGCGCTGACAGTCAAGGGTGTTGGTGGTGATCTTTATCGCAAGCTGGCAGGTGAGTCTAGGAGCTCCACTTTATTATACCTTACAAATGTGGTTTACATGGTTTTTATTATAAACTATTTTATGATAAAAGTAAATAAAAGACCATCCCGAGGCAGGACGTGGAAGTCTCAGAACACGGTCTGGAATTGATGGGTGGCCTTGGGCATGCTGACCTTATGCCTTGACTGCTCACAGGAACTGCGGGGAACAGCAGTGTTTCTCTGAGGATGATGAGAGTTCAGTAAGATCCACGGGAGCCATGGAGCCCAGAGGAGGTGCTCTGCGGATGTTGGTTATGATTGTCATCAAAAAAATCTCTCTTTCACCTCTGTCATCTGGTCAAACAAAATGCGCGGTGGTCTCAGAGTTTGGCAGAGGAAAGGCACAGAGGCGATGGTGTAAACTGTTGAGTTCCTTGAAAATGAATGGCACCTGTTCAGTACGTTTCTCCTCCTTTTGTAGCACTCAGTTTATTGACTTGGCTACTCAGAAAAAACAAACAGACATTGAGTGTGTTCCGCTTCTCACGGCCATCAGAATCATGGGAGGTGCAGCCAAGTGAAGAACTTACAGATGTGGATGAGGAGGAATCAGTATATTGTATTTTACAAATATCGAAGTCGAGTGCTGTTACAAATATAGAAAGGCTGTAACGCATTCCCCAAAATCAACCAGAAAGGAACCATAAAAATAAAAATCATCATTTCACAAAAATTATTGCCATGTTCTTTGGTGAACAACTTTATAGGCTACTGAACTTTTTAATTTTTATTCTAAGCCTTTGGTTAAAACACACAATAAACTTGTTACTAAAAATTGAAAGTGATCTTTGAACTTTAAGGTATAAAAACTACTGAACTTCAATACTGAGAGCAAAATCTTATCAAAGAATTTTTTCTACCCTTTCACAGAAAATATAAATTACTACTGAAGTGCAAAATGTGATAAAATTTTTTAAAAGAAAAATTCAAGTCATATCACTGTATTACTTTTCCATCAACTCAGGCCATTAGCTTTTTAAACTAAATAATCAAAATCAATGTTATATCCAAAGGAAAGTGTCATGGATAGACTCTAAGTATTAGAAGACAAAGGTCATGATTTGTGGAGCTAAGGCCTGGATCAGCCATGTGTCTCTGATGCTTCGACCTCTGGAGTCTCGCTGACTCAAGGGAGTACCCCTCCCCGGGCAAGTTAATTCCTAGCAATGCCTGCCAGCCCACCTTCCACCTGTAAGCCAACCAAGGCAGTGTCCATGGCCCCAACCACCTCCTTTGTCCAGCTCTCACGCTCCAGGCCACCGAGCATCTGCTCTAATCCCCTCAAGGCCTGGTACCAGACAACTCGGGACAGCCCCCGTGTCCCAGAGCCCGCTGAAATCATTCATGCTAGCCAGTCCTAAGCCTGCTGACGCTGCCTACGCGTCCATCCCTCGGAAACCACAGTGGGTGCTCTCACCTGAGCGCTCCACGTGTCCCTCTGGCTCCTGACCCACCCTGGTGCTTTCCTGTGTACCCCCAGGGATGGCATGCCCCA